TTCTTTTTCTTTCTTTCTTTTCTTTTTTAACCAAAGAATAAAGTGTCTGGTTATTCTTCATTTCTTTGGAATGTTGGAAGTAGCCAGGTTATTCTGATAATAGACGAATTGTGAGGGGAAAGTGGCAAAGAGAGTTCATTTCAATGACTTGAGTCACTAATGAGAGGAAGCTGAGTCATGCGTGAGTAGCTGGTCTGAAATCCTGCTTTATTACACTTTTGTTTCTATTTTATAAGCACTGACTATGAATGTGATTTTTCACAGTCAACATTTGCATCTTATCTTCAGTGGTCAGAAGTGCCAACTACTAAACTGGAAATTTAAATTGTAATGAAAGTTTTGGCAAGAATCAAAATACTGCCTGGATGGTCCTCTCCAGTAAGTGCAGATGCTAAAGGATTATTTAGGGTCTTTTTTTAGCTATTTAACTTTTTCCTGAGAAAGTGATTTTTTTTTCCTATAATGTTGGTTTTGATCCATAAAATATCTGGATAAAAGAATCTAGGAAACCCTTTCAGGTCTGAGGATCTCTGTATTCATGAGATAACAAATAAATGACAGAGACAACTCTTGTCTGAATTTTCATTGTAGCAAAATTTTAGTGTTGTATTAATAAAATAATTTATCAGACCAACTAGGTCTCTGAATTTATGTGGGAAACTTATAATAGTTCTGTATTTCATCTTTTGGGTGCAGTAAGAACCTATCTAGCCTAAAGTTGCATTTACATGATTTATTTCCACATGACCTTTTCCATATCTTCCTGGCTAACACAAAGACAATTTCTGAACAGACTACAATACAAGTGGGTATCCTGGCCTGCTTGTTTGCAGGTGGAACAGGTACGGCTCACACAAGGCTGTTTGTGCTTTCTGAGAATGACCGAGGCCATTTCTGCTTTACACACACATTACAGCTTTGAACTTTACAGTTGTGCTACGTCTGCATTTTTTTCAGTCAGATTTTTCAAAAGCGCTGATACTTTGAGGCTATGAGAAACAGATAAAATTTACCAGATAAAAAGTTTATATATAATTATTCTTCCATATTGGCAATATTAGTGTAACAGTCAGTTATCTATTTCACTCATGATTTTTATGGGAGAACATACTTTAAAATAAATAGTGATACAGAGCTATAAATATAATTTATTATTTTCCTATGGAAAATAATAATTTTATTCAAAATAAAATAAAAATTTTAGCTTTTAAGCCTTGCACGAATTAAGCAAGTATACAATTAACCCTTGTAGTAAATAAACATACGGAAGCATCAGAGAATGAAGCCCTGTCTTTCCACCGGATATAGAAGATAAACAAGTATGACTAGACCACTGACATTAATCTACATTATGCTCTGATGGCATCTTGTGGATTTTGTTTAGGTCACATCAAGGCAGGTGCATATCAAATCCCAGTAATATGAAACCACACCACTGAGCACTGGAACTCTCCTGCTCAGCACAACCCCGCAGGAGCATGAGAGTCGTGTATGCAGCTATATTTCCTGGTAGCTGTACCAAAAAAGGTGAAGAGACAGGTAAACTTGCTCATACTGAATTACATGTAGTAACACATTAATCACTACCTAAACTGCTATCTCATTGAACTCAGGATATTGCAAATACAATGTTAACTTGTGTTCGTATGCGTTAAGAATGCATATATCTCCTACTAAAAGCATGCCTAAATGAGGATGAAGCACATTTCAAGGGCTCAGTAGCCGTATGTGGTTTGTGACTACCACATTAGACAGTGTTGCTCATCTAAGGTTGTCACACTGGAAAATGCCAGAGAGTGGCAATATGAGATAGAGAGAGGACAGAGACCAGAACCATGTCTTAAACGCTCTGTTTCTGGCTCTGACATTTGCTACTGATATGATTGTGAAGAAGTGATATAGCTTCTCTGGGTCTCAGACCCCTCTCCTTTAAAATGGAAAATTTTATATGATTACTATATTCCTCCCAGGAAGCTGAGGGTAAGATTAAATAAGATATTGTATGTGAAAGTGTGCTGTTAAACCATAAAATGCCATGCACATGCAAGACATTATTACTTCTTTTATTGTAGATTTTGCTCTCATGACTTGCCCAAGGCCACATTCCAAATTGGTAGAGAATGAAGGTTAGTATCTGGGGCCTCAGACTTCCAGCCATCTGCTTCAGCTAACGGCTGTTCATACCAAACTCATTTAAAAATACTGGTTTTTTTCCCCCCCAAAATCTTTCTATTTAAAAGATTGAGGAAAGAGGAGAGTGGCATTAAGAAGTAAATTCCATATTGAAGAGTTACTTGCATAATGTTTTTCAGTTGAAGTATATATAAGGTTATTTATATACTTATGTACTTAGCATTGTGGCAATCAAGGACTGGACTTTACTCCTGTCATATAACTTAAAACCACGTGTTCTTCAAAGTTTCAAACAACTCTGGAACTAAATGGTAGTCTCTCAACTCTCTTTATCTCCAAAACAGCATAACCACAAGAAAGTCCTTCTGTACTGGACCTAATAAAACAGATACGGAACAATGCAGCAAGTTTTCCATAGATATTTTTGGTTACAGATGTGCTTCATTAATTCTTACGTGTGAGACACCACCACTTATAGCATGACTCCAAGAAACACATTAATGATAAACAGAAACTGGGAAATGGTGGGTGCAGCCGTTTTATTTGGTGCTTACTGTGTGTGAGGCATGCTTGATATTTGATGGTCAATAGAAGGTTGTCTCCATCATTTTTGTCACTGGCAGATACACTATTTCACTTGAAGAAAGTATGGATATGTGTATCCAGATGTTTGTGGTACATGTGTAGGTAATCTGTGCTTTGGATGGTAAAAACTGATTAGAAAAGAAGCTCTATTTAATTAAAGATAATTTAGGAGGCTCCCTTGTGTAAGTTTGGAAAGCACAAAGGTATATCATGACCTGTTTCTCTTTCTCCAATTGTATGCCTGGATTCCTGTTTATATTTGTGGTTTTGGCCATTTTCTGTATTATGTCATGCAAACATCTTTGCAGAACTTAAAAAAGGCATTTAAAAACACTTCAGAGTTTTGATTCTATGTGAAAGTAAGCATAGACCCAATTCATTGTGACAAAAAAAAGATATATGCAAAAGTTCCTTGTTCTTCTTTTGATCAAAATTCCTTAAAATGACCTTCACATGCTTATGTTCATTAGAAAACTTGCAATTAAAGTGTCAGGCTTGCCTGAATTGGCCATATTGAATAACGGTAATTTTTATTTTGACTTGCCGAATCCCTACTCTTGACTATTGAATGAAATAGTTTATTGAGTCACCTTTACATTTTATTGCTTCTTCACCTTAGTTTAAAAACAAAGAACTTAATTTTTTAAAAGTCCAATAAAATGCATTTTTTGATCTTTCTACCACAACTTTACAAGCAGTTCCCCTCCTTTGCCCTGTAATAATCACCTTCTGCATTTTTTATGATTTAGTTGAACATTATTATTGTAATTTTTTACTGGGTGAGCCCATCAATGTCCTTGGCAGCAAGATTTTGTTACAAGAAATCCAGAAGCCGAGTGTGCTGTAACAACCGAAGAGTGCCTCTGGATCTAGTTCACAGCCTTCCTCAAGAATGGACCCAAGCCATGCCATGCCTTTCCTCACGAGTTTCTTTAACATCCTCCATCACTTGAATCCTATAATAGGCTGCTTAAACATGTATATTTTCTTCAATGGCTTTGCATTATAAATATTTTATTTGGAGAACATCTGGCTTTGATGGAAACTCAGTCCAAATAGTTGGCAGTATCTAAATTAAAATATAATATCTTAGTAAAATCACTTAAGTATTTGCATTCCTCCAGGTGCCCTGAATGGATCCACTTGAAACAGAACATGCTCATGTGGCTGGATGCTGGGAAAATGTGTCCTTTTGTTCAAGTGTATCTCTAGCACAGGAACACACACACACACACACACACACCCTGAAGAATCTTAACAAATCAGTCTTTCAATTACAAAATGAAATTACATTGTAAGAAGTCATTGTGCTGCTATGTATTAGGAGCTCTCAAGCCATGTGTCCAAAAGTCACACTTCAAACCAGGCAACAGTAATAACCATAGAGTGGTGTGGGTACTATGAGATAATGTCTACGAGGCAGAAGTGGATGGTATGTTGTGGACTTTTTCTTTCCATCAAAGTTCAAAAGTTAATGATGTACTTTACATTTTTATTGCTCCTACCGAGACATCAATTAAAGAATAAAAGAGATTCTGGCATGCTATGATTACTTTTCACTGTGGACATATCGAGTGTCACATGTGAATGAAACCATATTTGTTATATCATGCTATGTTTCAAACATCCTAGCTTATCTTTGGGAAAATTCAGTACGTATCCTTCAGTCATCTGAAATGAATAATTTCTTCATTATAGCTCATAATTTCAAACTATAAAATATCAGCTGGAAAAAAATGGGCTCAATTAAGAGAAATATGATAATGGTAGAAAAACACATATAGACATGTCTGAGAGATGATAAGATTATTTTAATTTTCCCATTTGCACTGGAATTATTTATTTTACAAATCTCCAGATCTTTTATTACTTAAGATCCTTTGCTGAATCATGAAAAGAAGCTTAAGTTAGCAATTTTTCCCTGTACAATCTAGCTGTTAGCATCTGGCAGACACTTGGATACCTACTCAGGTCCTATGGAAATGATTATCTAAGACTCTCTTTCAACATGCACGGACTTAAAAATCAGTTATGCTCCCACTCTGTAGTTCAGTGTAAGTTTATTTTTTTAAACTCAATATTAGTGATAGTCTCAAGCCTTTTTCAGCAGAGTAGATAGCATCGGAGTCAGGACGAGTGCACGTGAAGAAAGGCTGGGTACCTATCTACCTAACTGTCTATGCATGACACGGCAACTAGCACCTGCTTCCTTTGTGGGCCACCCCAGGGCTAGTACCCTCCTCCTTCCCTCCTTCCCTCTGTCCCTCCCTCTTCAAACTTACATTTAGGCTTGGCTGGCCTGTAGAATCGAGGACCAAAGTCCTTGTTTGACTCTTCTTGTAATACCTTTGGAGCTGGGTCCTGTCTCTTCTCAGGATTTACTTTATTTCCAGAACAGCTTCTGCAGTGGAAAGATGAAAATGCTTTTATTCAATTGTATAGAAAGTAAGGAAAAGAATTATTATCAATCTGTATTTTTTTTTCTGTATTATAGGAGGAATTGTATAGTAGGAATTATAAACAAATTTAAGATTTTGGTATACATTTAGCCTACAATAGAGATTATTTTATATTAATAAGGACAGGGGAAAGAGAGATGACATATGTTTTGCTTTTGATTTAAACAAGTATATGTTTATTTTTATAGGATATATTACTATAGTTTAGATTTGGAATCTCGCTAGAGGCCCATATGTTAGCTAATGCTGTCACTGGGAGATGGTGGAACATTTAAGAGGTGGGGCCTACTGGGAGGAAGCTAGGTCACTGGGACCCTGATGTCTCTGTTTTGGTTTTTGGTTATCATAAGGTGAGCAAGCCTCCACTTCCACTAATCCTAACCAATAATGTACTATTACAGACGTGAAACAAGAGTCAAGAGCTCATGACCTGACATCTTTGATGTTGTTCTCTGTTTAGCAAGGGGTGGGGTGAGGGTGCTAGGGGTGGAGGGGTCTGGATCATGGCTGGCATCCTGGAATTCAGCTTCCAGACAGAGAATGGGGGTTCTGTTTCTCTCAGGGGCAGCTAGAGTCCCTTAGGGTGAGGCCCTAGTGCGTTAAGCCAGGGTGTGGAAAAGGTTTTCCACAGTGTTGCAGTTTAGCTCTGTTAGCCTGAGATCGCCGGTGGCAACGGAAACTCGGGCAGTCCAAAGCTTAAGGCAACACCAAGGTGTTACAGTTCTTGGTCAAGCTGCAGTGCTGAGCACGGCAGAGATGCGGGCCAAAGCCCATGCCTGGTCAGCTTGCAGCCAAGGCCCAGGACCAGTGGGTCGGAGAACAGGAGATGCTGTCCCGGGGAGGATAAATGAAGAAGCTCAGAAAGTCTTGAAGTGAGAAAGTGTGAATGTTTATTCATGTGAAATCAAGGGCAATATAAACCCTGGGCAGAGGGAAGGATTTCGAGGGTGGATATGTTTGATTGATGGGATTAAGGGGTCAGGGATACTTTCTGGTTCTATCACAAGAAGTAAAATACTGTACTTAACTATCCTATGGGGTGGGTTGGGGATCTCCAAGTACAATTGAAGGTCACTGCTAGACTAAGATCCTTAGCAGGGCGGGGCATTTCTAGGAAATCCTAGATGCTTACTAGAGCAGTTTCCTTATCAGGAAAGAGTCTGGTCTGCTATCCGCCCTGAGGGCTATGTGACCTGCTTACAAGACCTGGAATCATCCAGATCAGGGGAGACTTTTAAAACCCCACTGAGAAAAGGGAGTCCATCGTCATAGACCGAGTGCAAATAAATGGCTCTCCAGAGATGACCGACTTGAACTTTATCCTGCAGAGCCCCACACTCTGAAATCATAAGCCAGAAACATTTCTCCTCTTTCAAAGTACTGGTTATAGTTACACAAAGCTAACACATATGGGTATATCCAAAAAGACTATCTATCATTTGTTCTTTTTTTGTTTTCCTCATCATGTATAGAGGAAGTAATGCCTCAGGAAGCATAGTTTCCTTTAAGAAAAGTCAACTTCTGAATGCTACATTTCCACCTCAATTGCATACACATTGAATTAGAAATTGTTCTTAGTTACTTATCAAATAGGGTGTAGCAGGATGTCATTTGTTTATTTTGTCTTGCAATTTTGACACAACTCAAGCAGATATACAGGCTTCATACATTTTCCTTAGTTAGCCACTTCAAAAACCAGGTGAGATTTCAGACTTTCACTGCTTTTACTAAAAGATACTGTCATTTGTTTTGTTGTGTTTCACAGAGACATGCCCAGGAGGTAACTGTATTTGTTGTTTAGAAAATATTTAAACAGAAACAACTTCAGAATTTAGAGCAACAGGATTGGAAAGCTGGCTTTTGTTGACTAGGAAATGAGTGCAGAGTTGGGTATCCAGTTTGAAGTTCTTGCAATAAGTGGCATATTCTAGAATAATGCTCTCTAATGCTTTCTGCAATAAATGGTTATTCCATATTTTATGCTTTCTATTATGGTATCCATTTGTTACACGTGTCTGTTCAGCTCTTAAAAATGTGATTAGTGTGACTAAGAAACTCCATAATTTTCTTTGTTTTTTTAAAGTTTTTTAAGATCTATCTATCTATCTATCTATCTATCTATCTATCTATCTATCTATCTATCTAACATTCAGCCTGCATGTGTGCCTGCTCACCAGAGGAGGGCACCAGATCTCACTATCGATGGCTATGAGCCACCATGTGGTTTCTGGGAATTGAACTCAGTACCTTCAGGTAGAACAGCCAGTGTTCTTAACCTCTGAGCCATCTCTCCAGCACCCCTCTCTTTGTTTTTAATTTATTTGAATTAATTGACCTGCCTGTAACAAGTGGCTGTATCAGAAACTATGGTTCTGAGATTTCTCTGTAGTTGGTATTCAGTATAAAATGGATATCTTCACTTAGAATGTATGGAATTGTAATATTCTCAAAGTACACGTCCAGCCTGACATACCACTTGCCTTTGGAACTGTGCAATTTTTGCTCAGAACTGAAGGGTGCATCTATTATCAGTATGAATTTCACCCCACTTATGGGTATTGAGACATAAATACTCAGATCTGAATGGTTTGGACATCGTCTCTTCTCATAAAGCCATAAGATCTTAAAGTACCTCTGGTAATAAACTTCATTGACAGTAAATGGACACAAATGTTTGACTTTTCCAGTCCTTTTCATGTGTCCATTATGACTCTTTTCATAAGACTGGCAAAAGCAGGCAGATAAGGTGAGGTCCTGCCATATATGGCTGCTTCCATGAGAAATAACTCTCCAAACTGGGAGCTGATTTCTGACACTGGATGATAAACACCATATATGTCTCTTGGCATACATTCTTCAATAGCTCTCAACACTGGCTGATAAGGTACAAGCCTCAATGCTGGCACTGAAGATAGCATGTTGGAAAGACACTAGCTGCAGTCCCTCTCTTCACAATGACTAAGGGTTATTGCATTAGACCAGTGGTTCCTAACCTTTCTAATACTGTTGCAGTAAATTAAAAAAATGAGTGTTTTGCTATATAATGTTTATTATTAGCCCTAAGATTATCATGACAATATTATCTCACCTGCTATCACAAACAGTAAGACACAGACAGCTGTTATATTTACCTTGGGCAGGGCAGATATTCCTACCTATGCTGTCTGAATCACCTCACTCTCCATCTCCCAACTCCCATCCAATGCCATCCTCCTTAACCATACTATCTTCCATCCATAATCTTATAAATACTTGCATTTATTCTTCATCTGGGCCTTTTCACTCCGTTATTGGAGTCCTTTGTCCTGGCCCCACGTGGTTTCTTCTCCAGGCTAACCCATCTTGGTGTCCTTCCTCCTCTCTTCCAGTCCATCTGTCTCCCATGATTCTCTCTGTCCTCTCCAAGCCTGGGAACCTTAACCATGCTTACCCCATTCTGCCCTGCCCAGGTATAAGCTGTTTAATCAACCAATCAGATATGTCTTAGGCAGGTTTACAAAACAAAGATAGGTGTAACTAGATCTTAAAGGCTAGTAGCACACATCAGACCAACTTCCAGCATAATGGTATGACCCTTTAATACAGTTACTCATGTTGTGGTAACCCTAACCATATTTCATTGCTATTTCTTAACTGTAGTTTTGATACTGTTATGAATTATAATGTAAATATCTGAAATGCAACCCCAGAAGGTCGTGACTCATAGGTTGAGAACCACTGCATTAGACTGCAGTAGTTTTCATAATAACTTCTGCTAAAATTTATGCTTTCTTTCTGATTGTGGTCAACATAGGAGAAACACCAGATAAATAAAAGTCCTAAAGAATCACTACTATGTGCATGTTGTACATTCATTTCAATTTAGTTCTCTCTGAATAGCTGCCACAGACCCACATTCAAAACACAGACCTAAAAAACAAAGGTAAATGTTTTAAAGTGCAATAGTTCCATTTTTAGATTTTTAGTATTAGGTTGAACATTTTATTGATAATTTACTATATATATTTAAATGGGATTTCCCCTTCTCTCTAAGCCATAATAATTCCCTTTAAACTAATTTCTAGTTAAAAGGCTCTTTGTCAGTAGTAACATGAGTTTAATTTTTACTTTGCCATTCATAACACTATTGGAAAGAGTGTTATAGTCTCTCTGTATGAAACAAATCAAAATATTCGGAACTCAAACACTGCAATATGGGAGTGGTAATATTGCCTACACAGGCAATTTAAAACTCATCACATTTCAGTTTATTTTGGAAGAATAAGCTAGAAACATGGCAAAGTACTAAGCAAGAAATACTCAAACTTCTTTTTTTTCTCCGTACAGTAATTATATGATAAAATGTATGGTCCAACAAGCACATATTAGATGAATTTTCATTGATAAGAGTTTTATGATGAAAGATGAAAGAGATAAGAATCAATTGGCTGTAATAACTATGTCTACTACTTAAAGTAGTTGAAGACAATGACATATTTTTAAAATATATTAACTGATAACGCTTTTGATTTAAAAATGTATTTGCTTATTGTGTATTATCTAAGTGTATGTAGATGTACTATGTGTGTTCATGTGCCCATGGGAGCCAAAAGATGATGTTAGGTACCCCAGAGCTGGAGTAACAGTGTGTTGTAAGTGTGTTGAACTCAGTGGAGGTGCTGATTTCTGGTCCTCTTAGACAGCAGCATGGACTTCTAACTCCTAACTCCCTCTCTTCAACCCCATTCTTGATTTTTATAAACAGATATTTAAAAAAATATTCTTTACAAATGAATTTAAGGCATTAGAAGTAATCATAAGAAAAAATGATACAAAAAGTGTAGATAAATGTCATCATGAACAAACTAAAAGGTGAAGTGGAGGCCACCTTAGTTTTTTAAAAACTTTTATACTCTGAACACTTTTCACATGGACACAACTCTTCACCTCTCTTGCATTCCTT